GCAAAAAAAAAAAACAAAAAAAAAACAAAAAAAACCCCCCCAAAAAAAAAAAAAAAAAAAAAAAGAAGGAATTCTTTGAATGTAAGCAGTGGTGTCTTTTTTCTTCTAATACATATAGGAGACACTGGAGAATCATTTATTTGAGCCCAATTTTATCACCCTTCATGATATTCATTCCCTTTCACCTTGTTCCTAACCATTTCTACTCACTTAAATTTCCTATTTGCCAAAGAGACTATATTGTTTTGTACCTTGGTGTATGTCCTATCATGGTTTATTGACTAGAAAAGTCCTCCCCTTTCCTGCACTGTAAACCATTCATGATTTTCAGTAACGCAGATCAAATTCTTTACATTAGCTATGACAATTTCCCTACCTTCCCTATCTAGCACTCTTATTTCAGAACTGATGGCTGTTTTCATTGACTTTTTATTTCCTGTTCATACATCTATTAAATGCACTTGCTGTTTACATTTCTGGCTCCCTAATACACTGTAATTTTCAAGTCAGGATTACTTTTATATATATTTGCATATGGTAAACATATAAAAAGTGTTAGTATTGAAATAAAAAACACAACTAAGGAATGAAGGAAGGAAATTAAGAAGGCAGATAAGGTAGAAAAAAAATAAAAGAAAGGGAGGGAGGGAGGAGGGACAGAGGTAGGCAGAGGTATAAAAAGAAAGAAAGAACAAAGTCAAAAGACATCAATGAATATATAACAAGTATTGAAAACTTTTGAACTAAATCTTTACAGACAACACAAAGATGCTACAATTTATGCCAGTAATGCTTATAGAACTTAGTATTTATTTTGCAATTGTTTCCTGGATCATAGGAAGTAAATATTAGTGATAAAGAGAATTCCTTTCCTCTGCTAAGAATTTGATCCTGTCATAAGTTTTTACCTGGCAGGCTTCTGCCTGATCCCTCAGGTCTTGCATAGTGTTTCCAAATGCATTGAGATCCACTAGGAAAGCCTCGTGCTTCTTTAGAAGAGCCTAGATTTGTTGAGAAGATTATCACCATGAATACAGAAAGGAATGAATATGAGAATATACAGTAGAAGTTCCCTAGGGTTACACTGAGCTGTTTGGAGGCCTGGTTAGGCCTCTTTTTAACCTTAAATGTATAAGACTCAAGAAAACAGATGTTAATTAATAAATTAAAATTTCAGTATATTTGCCAAAATCAAAATTAACTCAAATTTGCACAAGTGATTTAATCAACACATACGAGAGTTGAAAGTGGATGCTGTTGATCATGTTCCTTTGTAGAATAAATATTAGCATAACTTTACATGCCAACTTTATATTCCAATTATTTCTAGTGCCAAATGTTTGCAAAATACAATACTGGCTTCTCATAGAACAAAGAGCAAAACAAATAAATAAATATAAAAGTTAATTATAATCTTTAAATTCTTTTTGCTCCAATGTGTCTGTCTGATTTTATATCAATAAAGGAATTAAAGTGCCTATTTCTTAAAATAAGGAGCAGTTTATGAAATGCAAAGGTTCAGGATGAAATCGATGTAGGCATAGATCTCTAGTTACACCTTTTGAATTTAGACAATCTCTGAAGAATCTATGGGCCTCTGAGATTAGAAAAATGTGTAGCTTTTGGGTGGAGATGGAGGAAAAAGATGATCATTATGGAAACTCCAAATACTAACAGAACCTATAGCTGTCCTACAATCTAAGCACACCCTACATTAATAATTGCATAGCATTTGGTGAGTATTCATGGGACAATGTTCATCTCCACCCGCACTTTACCCCAGCTGCTTCTTCATCAGCCCCGTAGTTAGTGCTGTCTACAATAGGCTCTTTCTCTCTAATCCAAGCCTCTGCTTCATGCAGGTCAGCCAGGTACTGCTGGAACTGGACATTGGCCTCCAGGTCATTGTGCCTCCTAGCAGCTCGAGCGCGGAGAGACTTCATGTTATTGTTCAGACTCTCGACCCTAGAGGCTACATCTTCTGCAGCAAAGTGTCCTGTGGAGTAATTATAGAAAAAGTAAGCATTACTCTCATGTTTATGATACTCTAATTCTTTGGGTCACGTGGAAAAAAGAAAGGGAGGCAAGAAGATGGTGTATATTTAGTCTGTGTCATATTTTTTCTTATATTCCCTTAGAACTGCAATATTCTAAGTGAGTCGAAACAACAATTGGTATTAATAAGAGAGAGATGTGTCTGCATGGCAGTAAGTAAATGAGTTGATAAAGTCTCAGAAACATCAATCTGAGAACAGAATATCATGTGTGGATAATGCTTACGTTGCAAAAACATATTTTCTCTGGATGGAACAGAAAAATCCACAGATTTCCTTTTAAGTCCATAAGGGATTTATTATTCTAGGAATTGCTTTTCTACCTTAAACAACTTTAAAAATGGGGGAAATTGCAAGGTACAATGATTTTTCAGATATTGGATAGAAGTTTGTGACTCCTTGGGACCAGCAGTTGGTATAATGGCTACGTCACTGGACTCTCATGTAGTTGCTGGTGGTTTGAGTCCTGGATCCAGTTGCTTAAACTCATGCTGGGCATGAGTGCGTGTTTGTCCAAGATCCCGAGAAGAGAATGGAGGAGAAGGGATTGTGGTGTGGCCATACCTCCTGGGGGGTGATTTCTCACTTTCTGTCTCTGTCTTTCTGGCGAGCACACATGCCCTATAGCAAAAACCTCTCAAAAAAAAAGAAAAAAGAAAAGAAAAGAATTTTGTGACTCCTTCGGAAGGAAGAGAATGAGGTATGTCCTATAATTACCATAACTCATGCCTTTAGAAGTTTCGGGCAATGGTGCTGGAAGCTCCAACTCAGATAGAACCTAGTCATCACACTGAGTTAAACAGACAAAAATCAGAGCTGGGGAGAGACAGGACAACTAGAAGCTGTCAGGGAGAGTACTCAAGGTAAGGGTACTGCACAGAGATGGAAATTTGGGAATATTCAAAGGAGAGGTCCCCTTAAGAATTCCACTGATTTCTCATTTGCATATATATGCAAATAGGACATTCCTAGAGTGAGGAAAAAATGATGGAAACACAATGATGGTCAAACAATTCCTAGGACTCATGTAAGGCCAGAAGTAGTTAAAACTACTACCATCTAAAGCAGAGGACATTGAAACACATGAGGTAGAGTCTTTAAAAGATATCTTACTATTAACCTCTAAATTAGTCTCAGAATAAAGGCTACCCTGGAAGTATAACAAAGCAGATCCATGAAGCTCAAAAATTACTAAGCTGAAGAACAAAGAAAAGCACACAAAATTATATCATAATCAAATTGCGGAAAAACAGTGATGAAGAGAAAAATTGAAAAGAGAGAAAGAACCATCCAGGTAGCTCAGTAGTAAAGGCAGCTGGATCTCACATGGCAGATTGCACTGTGTGATTTTCATACTTGGTGGCTTGATAAACATGCTGGGCATGGGACCAGCATATAGCATAATGGTTTCCATTGCTGGATTCCCATGTAGTCAACCACAGTTCTGGTCCTGGATCCAGTGGCTTGAACTCACACCAGGTGCATGTGTGTGCACATGAGGAGAATGGAGAAGAAGGGATTGCCATCCCTCCGTGGGGGTGATTTCCTCACTTTTTGTCTCTGTCTCTCTAGTGAGCACATATACCTTAAAGCAAAGAATCTCTCACTAAAAAGAAAGAAAGAAAGAAAGAAAGAAAGAAAGAAAGAAAGAAAGAAAGAAAGAAAGAAAGAAAGAAAGAAAGAAAAACATGCTGGGCACATGTGTGTCCCTGCCCTAAATCCCAAGAGGAGAACGGAAAAGAAGGGACTGCAGCATGACCATGCCCCGTAATGCAGGGAGTCCTTCCTCACTTTCTGTCATTCTTGGTGAACACACACACCCTACAGAAAAATAAATAAATAAATGAGAAATAATGAAGGAAAAAGAGAAGAAAGAGAGAAAAAAGACACATGGTATACAGAGTAACAAAAATAGTAATGACGAAAGATGACTCCTTGGACACTACAGTCAGAACATACCACAACAGCATCTTTAAAGTACTGAAAGAAAGAAATTATCGACCATGAAAAGTAATTTCAGTTGAATGAACACCTAGAGAATTTAGGTTAACAGTCCTGTACTACGAAGCATATTACAGAAAGGTCTTTAAAGGAGTAGGAAAATGATACACATGAAAATACTGATCTACACAAGGGAATAAAGAACACTGAAAATGATATTTATATGGGTAAATATTTTTTCTTGTTTCTAAATTTCATTCAAAGCTAATTGACTATTAAAGCAAAAATTATAACAATGCATTGGAGGGTTTATCACATATCTTTTTTAAAAAAGAATTATTTATTTAACTTTATTTATTCATTCATTTAATTTGATCAGAGACAGAGAAAGAGAGAGAAAGTGAGAAAGCAAGCCACCAGGTCCAGGATTTGAACCATGGTTGCCCATGTGGGAATGTCCAGTGCCTTAACCACCACGCCACCTGCTGATCTCGGATTTATCATTTATCTAAAAGTAAGTGATACTAATAGCACAAAGGTAAAGTCAGACAAATAGAAGTATATGTTTAAGAATCTTCTTACATTATACATGAATGATATAAAATTATTTGAAGTTAGATTGTGATAAATTAAAGATCTATATTTTATATATTTATTTATTTTAGAGAGATTTTTTGCTATAGGGCAAGTGTGTTTGCCAGAGAGTTAGAGAAATAGGAAGCAAGAAATCACTCGCTGGAGGGATGGTCACATGGCAATCCCTTCTCCTCCAGTCTCCTTTTGTGATTTTTGGGAACACTCCCCCCCCCCCCAACACACACATCCAGTGTGAGTTTTAATTTAACAGGTCGGGGACTCAAACCACTGTTGACTACATGGGAACCCAGTGGTGTAACCATTATGACATCTGCTGGTCCCAAGATCTATATTTTAAGTCCTAAAATAGTTACTCTCAAACTTCTGTTCTCAGACACCTCAATAATTTTAAGAATTACTGACTATCCCCAAAAAGTAATGCTTTTATGGTTGTGTATATTGGTAGTGACCATATCAGAAACTAAAACAAATATCTTTGAAACAGAAGAATTCTTAAGTAAGGGTCAGAACATGGTATGGTGGTTAAGGCACTGGGTTCCCACATGGTCAAAAAGGGTTCGAGTCCCAAACCTAGCAATCTGAAAATGATGCTGGGCATCTGTGTGTGCACACCCAAAATCCTGAGAGAAGAATGGGAGAGAAGGAATTGCAGCATGGCCGTTCCTCCTGGAGGATAACTTCTCACTTTCCCTCTTTCTGTCTCTCTACTCTCTATCTCTTTCCAAGGAGTGAAGAACCTTATGGGGAGGGGGGGACTACAAAAATAAAAATGAAAAAATGTAGAAGTATATATTCCATTAGATATTAGAGCAATGACATCACCACACATCATGTAGGTTTTGGACAACTTCATTGTATGTTTATAAAAAAATGAATATGGAAAAGATAAATAATGTCTTAGTACTATTATAAAATATTTTAACTTCATGCCCTGAAAGTTTCTTAGAAACCCAAAAGAACAGTAAACCAGAAACATCATATTTCACACCAATGTAAGCAGTAAAGACTTCTGAATGTGGAAGACCAAGATTAGGAGAGGCACTGAAACTGTGTAAAGTGAGAAAATAAAAGACAAATCACTATTTACCATAAAGATAATAAGACACTGGGAATCAATAATGAGCTAGGACAAGTGAACCAGGTATCTTAACATATCCTTGAATTCCTAATACTGTAACGACTTCTCAGAGGTCTGGCATAGTGTATTTTGGCCACTGCAATCTGAATGATACATACCTTCCTCTACCATTTTGTTTCCCCTCTCTGTTATCACTTGGATCCGTGGCTCATGGCTGGCAATGTCTGCCAGGATGACTTGATGTCTGTTCAGAAGATTCTTTGATGCAATCAGGTCTTTGCCTACGAAAAAAGCAATTACAAAGTTTGAGATGATCTTGGCGTATAGAAGTAGGGTACCTCATATTTTGGAATTTTTAAACCTATAGCATCTCCCTTTCATGTTGTTCTAATCATTGAGTGAACTTTTTTTTTTTTTTTGAGAGGGTTTTGCTATAGGGCACGTGCGCTTGCCAGAAAGACAGAGACAGACAGAGAAATGGAAAGCGAGAAATCACCCCCAGGGGGAGATGGCCACGCGGTAATCCCTTCTGCTCTCGGGATCTTGGGCACGCATGCACACGTGCCCGGCGTGACTTTAAACCATTGGGTCCAGGACTCGATCTGCAGTTGGCTACATGGGAGTTCAGTGACATAGCCCTTATGCTAACTGCTGGTCCCGAGTGGACTTTCTTAAATTTATCCTACTTGGGGCCAGCAGGTGCCATGGTAGTTAAAGACATTGGACTTTCACATGGTTGACCATGGTTCAAGTCTTGGACCTGGTGGTTTGCTTTCTCTCTTCTCTTCTCTCTCTGATCAAACTGCAAAATAATAATGATAATACTAATGAATAAAAAGATAATAAAATAATTCTTTTTAATAAGTGTCCAATTTGAATTAACTTTACTTAGGTTTTGTTCTTTCCCTTCACTTCTTGTACCAAGAAAATGTAATTAGTTATGCTACAAAAGATAATGAAGGAATTATATTTTCTTTGAAGAGAGAGAGAAAAGCAAGTAACTCCTTAAAGCAATCAAATATGTCCCATGTCATGGAACCAATTTTCTTTCAGAATAGTGTATAAAAAGCAGGATCTGCCACTTGCTAATTTCTATAGACTTCAGAATGTTTTGAAATCTTCTGAAAGTAAATTTCCATGAAAAAGATACAGTATTGGAAGTTTTATTTGGAAATAATTTATGTAGTTTACAAAAAAAAAATTCCTTACTTGTTATGTAACATGGATATCACACAATCAACACTACTTGTGAATTTCTTTCACCTAAAACCCCTAATTCCTTCTGTCAGCTTCATCTTCCTGATCTCCTAACACGCTTTACCCCTCTTCTGTCTTTCTTTATATTTCACACTCAGAATACCTCTTTGATAAGCCTCATGCTTTTCTGTTGCAGAAAATTTTCTCAGACTAACCACTACCTTGTCTTCACCGTCTCGCCCCTAATAGATGCTCCTGATGAATACAAAGTCTTACTCTGTTTACGTTCACCTTTTCCTGTACCGTAATGTAAGTGCCCAAGTACTGCTACTGGTGAACTAATAGCTTCTGAAAGATAAAATGATATTTACTCTGTTATTTCATCCCTTTCATCCTTGTAAAAGACAAATAAAAACACTTGATACCTCTAACATTAACCATGAGTGCTCAGTCAAGGACCTTCAAAATAACTTTCAGAGCAAGCAGCAAAAAAACCCCCCAAAACCCAAAAAAACAACAAAAAAACCTGGCTCTTCTCAGAGGCCCTAAATTAATGGCATTATTCATGTCTGAGTGTAGGAAGTAAATTATTTTCATGTGATTTAGAAATATATAAACATTTATGGAAAACTGGACAGATTTTTGTGATTCTGAGAGAGAAAGAAGAACTGAGCAAACATTTCACCCCCTTGCTACTGTACCCCAGATCTCTCAATTCTCTCCTTATGGCTCAATCTGCTTAGGCTGTACTAACCGAGGTAAGTAGAAGCTGCTGAGGGTTCAGTTTCTTGGATCCAGGCCTCTTCATCCTCTGTGTCTCTGCAGATCTGCTGCAGACGAAGTAGGTCAATGAGTTTCTTTTTCCGAGTGGCCAGCGGCTCTTTTAGGCCTTCGAACTGCGTCACCAAGGCTTCCTTCCTTGCAGTTATGTCCTTAGAATCAGGATGGCCTGTCTCTTCAAAATAGGTAGCCAGTTCTGAAAGAGTGTCCACTTGATCCTGAAGGGGAGACATAGAGTGGTTATGAGGAAATCCTATTGTTTTGTTAAAAGAGATTGGAGTTTTGCTCAGTGATGGTGGGGGAGGGTGGAAGAATCAGTTTTCTTATGGATCTGTTAGGAGCTCTAATTAAATCAGTGCAATTGACTGGTTGGAGTTATGAAATCAAAGATTTATTAATCATCAAACTGACTTATTTATAGAAAAGTAGTTTTCATAGCACATTTCCAAAAAGACAAAATACTTACAGAATGCTCCAAGTAGATTAAACACTGTCAGACTTGAAGAGTTTCAATTATTTGGGAATGTTGATAATGTGGGAGCCCATTTCTAAGTTCCCCTCCCTTATTCTATCTCTCCTTTTAAATTGAGCTAAAATTGAAAACAAAATGGAAACTTCGGCGTAAGTTTGTGGTATAGGAGAAACAATACCTATATGAAGAAGTGTGGTGTTACAAATGTCAGAATCACAAAAGGAGAAACGTGAAGGTATTGTACTGGCCACTACTTAGTTATCCCCTCTGAGCTATATCTCAGAAAGGAGGGATGTTACTTCCCTATATAGTAAAATAGGTAGGAGAGATGAATTTCATCTGTGTTAGTGATGTTAACAGTAGCAGGCCTGGTGGAAACACAATACTCAGGATTAATTTTTTTCTATGCTTTTTCTTGGTTTGTTTTTGTTTTTGGTTGTTGTAGGAGTGGTGGTGGCAAATAAAGTTCTTCAAGAGATAGAGGAACATCAGGCATTAATGTCACTTATTCTATTTTGCCATCCAGTGCTCAAAGTGTAAAGGGTTTGCTATAGCTCTCCTCATTTGGCTCAAAACATTGACTATCAATAACTTCTTAAAACATGTACTTCTTGGGAACCAGCAGTTACTGTAATGGCTATGTCGCTGGACTCCCACGTAGTCGACCGCGGTTCGTGTCCCGGACCCGGTGGCTTAAAACTCATGCCGGGCGCGTTTGCGTGCATGCCCAAGATCCCGAGAGGAGAATGGAGGAGAAGGGATTGCAGCATGACCATCCCCCATGGGGGGTGATTTCTCGCTTTCTGTCTCTATGTCTCTCTCTGTCTGTCTGGCGAGCGCACGCACCCTACAGTGAAAATCTCTCCAAAAAAAAACATGTACTTCTTCATACAGACTAAAATCTCCATAAACAAAGTCTCTCACTAGCTAATGGTTCACTTTTCTTAGGATACTTTGGAAAATATCATAATGTAGTAGAGTGATTTTTCAAACATCACCATTATCATCATCATACTCGATCCACTGTACTCTTCAGAGATCTCTAATGTGACACAAAAATGCCAAAGGCTATGAGATAGGGGACCTGGTTTCTATTTTTGGATTCCGGGCTGTTGTCTTTTGATCTTGGGAAAACTCTTTCAATTCTATTTTGCCATCCAGTGCTCAAAGTGTAAAGGGTTTGCTATAGCTCTCCTCATTTGGCTCAAAACATTGACTATCAATAACTTCTTAAAACATGTACTTCTTGGGAACCAGCAGTTACTGTAATGGCTATGTCGCTGGACTCCCACGTAGTCGACCGCGGTTCGTGTCCCGGACCCGGTGGCTTAAAACTCATGCCGGGCGCGTTTGCGTGCATGCCCAAGATCCCGAGAGGAGAATGGAGGAGAAGGGATTGCAGCATGACCATCCCCCATGGGGGGTGATTTCTCGCTTTCTGTCTCTATGTCTCTCTCTGTCTGTCTGGCGAGCGCACGCACCCTACAGTGAAAATCTCTCCAAAAAAAAACATGTACTTCTTCATACAGACTAAAATCTCCATAAACAAAGTCTCTCACTAGCTAATGGTTCACTTTTCTTAGGATACTTTGGAAAATATCATAATGTAGTAGAGTGATTTTTCAAACATCACCATTATCATCATCATACTCGATCCACTGTACTCTTCAGAGATCTCTAATGTGACACAAAAATGCCAAAGGCTATGAGATAGGGGACCTGGTTTCTATTTTTGGATTCCGGGCTGTTGTCTTTTGATCTTGGGAAAACTCTTTCACCTATCTTTATCTTAGTTTATTCATCTATATAAAGAAGACTTTGAACTAGAGAATACTGAAGACCTTTTCCAACAATGGCACTCCATATCTAAAATTTCCATTGCTGGCATCATATCTTAGCCTGTCCTCTCACTAGAAGAACCAACTCCTGGTGATCTGCTGCTCTAACTTTCCCAAATAAGGTAAAATAATTCTGTGTGTGTATGTGTGTGTGTGTACATGTTACTCATTTTTTTCAAGATGTTCCTTTTTTTGGGTTACTTTTAAACAAAAAAGAAAACTTTACAACAACAAAGTAAACAGATCTTATCTTACCCTTCTTAGCAAATGTCTTCCAAATTCTCTTCCTCTATGTGCACTTTGGAATAATTTTTGAATAGCTTTCATACCTCTAGCTTTTAATGTACTTAATTAAAACTCTATCCAGTCATCCTCAATGATATATAAATGACTATTTTTTAAACAATTAATATTTATTTATTCATTCATTTATTTTAATTTGACCAGAGAGAGACACAAAGAGAGAGAAATGGTGAAAGGAAGCCGCCAGGTCTGGGACTTGAACCGTGGTTGGCCATGTGGGAGTGTCCAGCACTTTAACCACAACGCCACCTGCTGGTCCCCATAAATGACTATTTTTTAAATGTTTTCTGTATATCATTCTGTTTTTCTCATTTAACTAAGAGTGACCAAAGATGAAACATCATGAAAGGATATTTTAGCAAGACAAATTAGTAATCTTTTAGAGAACAGTAGAATAATTTTTAAATACAAGCTAAAAATCCTGGGATGAAAAACTGAATCAGCTGGAAGGGAATTATCCCTGAATTCTCCCCCAAACTCACAAACAGTATCCATGTTCTAGAAATTTATTGGATAAATTTATTTAAAATAACAATCTGGTGGGGTGTTGGAGAGAATAACCCTGAAACCAGGAGCCTACACCTCTGTATCATAGACTTAGCCCTATTATTTATTTATTTTTTTACAGTATAGGGAAGTCATTTTACATCTGTGAATTTCAAAATCCTTATTAAAAAAAAAGAGTAAAATTCAAGATTTTTTTTTTGAGAGGTTTTTCACTATAGGGTGCATGCACTTGCCAGACAGACAGAGAGAAACAGAGAGACAGAAAGCGAGAAATCACCTCCCAGGGGGATGGCCACACCACAATCCCTTCTCCTCCATTCTCCTCTTGGGATCTTGGGAACACACGCACACTCACCCGGCATGGGTTTTAAGCCACCGGGTCTGGGACGCAAACCGCAGTCAACTACATGGGAGTCCAGTGACATAGCCATTACGCTAACTGCTGGTTCCCAAATTCAAGATATTTTGAAACTTCAAATCACAGAATACCATGGCACAAAATATTATTCAAAACACTTATTTTATAGAAGAGAATATTAAGGCATGCCAAGGTGAAATGACCTACCAAAGAGCATGTAACCAGTAAGATAAGGCTGTATAGAAAATCTAGATTTCTGGGGACCAGCAGGTGGCATAAAGATTACGTTGCTGAACTCCCATGTAGGTGACCACGGTTCAAGTCCCAGACCTGGCAGCTTAAAACTCACTCTGGGTGTGTGTGTGTGCATGCCCAAAATCGTGAGAGGAGAATGGAAAAGGATTATGGTGTGATCATCCTCCTGGGGGGTGACTTTTAGCTCTCTGTATCTCTGCCTCTGTCTCTCCAGAGGGCACACATGCCCTACGGCAAAAATATCTCCAGAAAAAAAAAAAAAGAAAAAACTTAAAAAATCCAGATTTCTGAATTAAGATAGCAAATATTACATTTAGAAGAGTTTATAAAGTCTCACATCAGCCTTAGGATTCTGACAAAAGACACTGGGCATTCAGGAGAATGGCAGCATGGGAGGAGATACTGAGAAGGGACAGCTAATCAACAAATACTGTTGAATTTTTACCTCTGGTTCCTTGTTCACTTTTTATTTATATTTATTTATTTATTGTTTTACAAAATTTTGCAATAAGGCCCATGTACTCCCCAGAGAGATAAAGAGAGACAAAATTGAGAAATAACCCCCCCATGGAGACAGCTGCACCCACAATCCTTCTCCTCTATTTTCCTGTTGGGGTTTTGGGCATGTATGCACACATGCCTGGTGTGAGTTCCAAGTTCCTGAGTTTGGGACTCAAACCATGGTTGGGCACGTGAGAGTCCAGCACCTTAACTACCATGCCACCTGATGGCCACTAAGTGAGAAAGCAAGCTGCCAGGTCCAGGACTTGAATTCTGTTCAACTACATGGGAATCTAGCACCTTAACCACCATGACACCTGCTCGCCCCCATATTCTTTTAATAATCATAATTACTTATTATGGGTATCCTCATTGTATGTATTTCAATGAGCCACAACCAAAGAACAACAGACCTGACGAGTAGCCACAGCCGACTCCAGGAGGCCATGTTTCTTGAGAAGGTTCCGTACATCTGCCAGGCCTTTCCCATAATCCTGGGAGGTAACCTGCCACTCCACCTCTTCCAGCCAGCGCTTCAGGTCTTCAGCATTATTTTCAAATTGCAGCTGCTGGTTGGCTTCATGAAGCTGAGTTCCTGAGAGAAGATACTAGGTAACATAACTGCTCTCTCTACATGACGACATACCTTCCTTGTACTTAAGGAACAATATAGTATTATGATATTCTGAAGGAAAACAATGATAACTGACTCACATGTGATTATAGAAAACCCTTGAACAATGTGGAAGTTTGCAGCACTGAACTCCCTTGCAGTCGTAACTTTGGACTCCATCAAAACTTAGCTAATAGCCTACTGTAGACTCTCTTGCAAGCACATGCGCCCTATAGCAAAAAAAAAAAAATCCCTTTCTCTCTCTCTCTCTCCATATATATATATATATGTGTATGTATATATATATGGTGGTATCTGTTTTTGAATATAGTAACTGTTTTCAGCAACAAAGACAAATAATTCATTTTATCTCCTGGCATATTAAGGTTCTTCTGTGTCATATTTTAACCATGAGGGGGATTTTCTTGTCATTTGTTACCATTGAAGCTTCTTCAAAGGGATTCAAACTGGGACACTGCACTTTCTGAGAGAAGTATAATTTGTGGGGTTCGTTCAGTTTGGAATTTGAAGTTTCTTTTTACGAATGCCTTTAACAGAATGCCTTTAACACCTTTGTTTTTCTCCCACTTAGTGCTTGCCCTTCACCACAACCTTCAATTTTCTCTTCCAGAGAATATCTTAATTATCCACTGTGCTCAGCCAAAGCCTTTATTCTATAAACTTGTAGCAAGTATTTGCTTCATTTCTGCAAAGAGAGTACTGTGTCTCCTGATGATTGGGAGTAACGGTAATACCTTATTATTATAGTCATGTTGTATTTATTTTTCCTAAACCTAAAATCAGAAAGAAATTCAGAGTCATCAGTTTGCTCTCTCTCTTCTACAACCAGGGCAGACTTGTGTCTGTAGATGATGTTCATCAGAAAGTCGACACTGACAGAGAAAACTCATCTGTGTTAATTCCTGACAACTGATAAATCTCCCAAGTAAGTAGTGCAGTAAAATATAAGCATACACTTTTCAGGCAGACGTGGGAATTTTCTGAGGGCTTTTAGACAATTGAAAAAACAACATGTTATCAAGATCTATAAGAATAAAATGTAGAAACATCGTCTGTGACACCAACAATATCTTTCATGTCTACATTAATAAGCTGGGTCATAATATCTTGTTTAGTTTACAGAAACAAAATATTTAAAGCCTAATTTAAGTGCAGTAGATTTAGATATATAGCTAATGCTGAAGTCATGGCTGATTGATATTTATTGACAAGAACAGAAAAAAGCAGGACAAAAGTGAAGGAAAAAAAAGTAATTTTAGCTAAAGAAAGCCCTATATACATGAGGATAATGAAAAATTGTGTTAATACATGGTGTCATCAGTTTAGGCTCAATTTTGATAACTTCTTGACCAATAGAAGAAAGACATAGGGATGCAAATGGGCAGCTTCCCATCTCGTGAAGGTAAATGTGTGGTGGGAAAAATGAGGGACTGGTTTCAGAAATTAGGATTTAGCTCTTCACCCAGAACTCTGCTTCTCACCTCTCTGTGCCGTGGCTTCCAGCAGCTCCTTCCAGAGGCCGGCTACTTCACTCACACGACTGGCCACACTGTCAGCAGCATAGTGACCACTCTCGATCATCTCCTGGCCGGTTTTCTCCAGGTTGTTAAGCAAGATCGCATTATCTGCCAATTCCTTTTCAAAGACTTGCTGCTTTTGAACTCTACTCTTTAAGTTCTGTGTATCCTGAGACGAGATTGAAAAATAAAAGGAAATATATTCTGAAGCATGAGGGACAGAGATGTTGAGGAGTGAGGGATTAGTTCTCACTTTAAATCTAATTGTGCTAAGAAGAAGATACAGAGAACTGTCCACCAATGCTTGGGAGACAGGTTCCCCCTCCATCCATGTGGTGGACATGACTAACAGAACCAGCTTTTATTTCTACCAAGCATGATCTGACTTAAAGATCATTTTGAATATAAGACCTATGTAGACATTAACAATCAATCAGGCCTGTCATGAAAGATAAAAATGATATTCCTTTCTTCTCTAGCTCATAAATCCACCATCCATTTGCCTCATGTAGAAGAGATCTGTTTATTCTAAAAACAATTAAACCATAACTCTTCTAGAGAATACAAACATATACTACCTTCTAGAGGATACAAACATACGCTATTTTATCTGTATTTTACAAAGAATGAAAAGTACACATAACATATTCATAGCTCTAACAAGATAAAGGAACACAAAGATGCAAAGTATACATTTAAGAATAAAAAAGTAAACACCAGAAAAGTAAACACTTTCAGTAGATACTGGCCTAGAAACCAAGAGGCTATCATCTTAGATCTGCTAATGTGAAAGTTTGTGAGTATACTTGTGTGTGCAGAATAGTTTATAGTATATAGTGTTTGTGAGTATAAAAATGTGTTTTGTACAACCCCAAGGAAGAAAAATCTATGACTCAGAGAGAATTTAGGAATTTCTAGTCATGCAGACTACAATAGTACAGGGCAAAAATTCAAGCCCAGGTTCACCTTCTCCTTAGCTCATGCTTTTAACCTTTATATGAGATCACCTTATAAACCATTAGATAATGTTGGGCAATTCACTATCTAATTCAGATACCGGCTTCTCATTGATAATGTTAGGAGTTATTGCCGTCCAGCTACAAAACTGTGTAAGTCTATGTTCTAACAAATTCCTAGGCTAGTTTTACATACTCAGTAGCCTAAAGTTTAATATATCATTGAGACTAGACACGATATTGTACTTTCCTACAGTAAGAGGGCATAATGGGACAAAAAAGTGGCTAAAGGGACAAAGTAAACTAAATAAGGAACATTCCTTCCATTTCCTCATTTTCTTAGGGACTCCTAGAAGTTATACCAAGGAAAGAGGTGAAAGACAACAGGGCATAAAAAGTACAATCTAGATTCTTGGTTTCTAACTAGACATATAGCTTAGGAGAACCATTGTCCTTCTCTGAGTACTTGTTTCCTTATCTTTAAAATGAGGACCACCAGGTGAACACCAAGGTCCATTCAGTTGTGTACATCCAGGACCTGAGAACTCTGCCTACCGCGTAGTCTTCATCATCTGCCAACTTTTTCTTCTTGTTGATCCAGTTCTTGAGGTCATCAGAGTCTTGGTACAGTTGTTGCAGAAGCCATGAATCCTTTAGCAATCTGCGTCGAGTGCCAGCCCTGTCACGTAGGGCATCTCTCCGGGCCAACAGCTGCAAAACCCACGAGCAAATTCATGGTTAACAAAACAAACATAGACACCTGAGATTCAATGCCCACCCTGGTCACCATATCCCCGCCTC